GTTGGGAGATGTTAAAATTAAAGAGCTGTTTTTTTTGTTTTGTTTTGTAGAAAGATATCTTTTAAGACATTTTAATTTATTTTTGGCTTTTTGGCTAGTAGAGTGTTTCAACTCTACTAAGCTGCTGTTTCAACCTATTTGAACAAAAGTACTTATCTTTATGAACTAACTGTGGAAAATATGAAGTATTATAAGTATTATTGATCCTCATTCTTTAGTAGACAAATAAAAGTAATACAACAAAAGGATTTATTATAACATTTTATAATTTTTTAAAAATAATTGTATTATAAAAATGTATTTATTATTAATATAACTATTATTATTATTGTTTTATTATTAAAATACTTTTCTTATTGTACTTTCTTTTGGACTTGAAGCAAGAAGCTTTAGGGATTTACACGTGTATATATACAGTATATATATACACACACACACATCAGTTTTCTTTATACTTTTCAGTTCATCACATCAGAATACTAAAGAAAATGCAAGCCATGTATTCAATACAGCATGATCATTGTAGAATCTGTAGAGCTGCTGGATTCAGTGCAGCAGGATGAAGGAGAGCAGAGAACAGCAGAGGAACAGGAAGCTCTGAGTGACGCTCTGAGCACCGTCAGGACTCTGGGTGATGCTCTGGATGTTGATCTGGGTGACACTCTGGTTGACACTAACACTGTTACACAGGTTCCCCACACAACATGTGATGCCCTGACCACTAGGAAGCAATGCTGAGGCATCACAAGCCTCTTTAGAGATACAGCCTTTTGCAGCAAATAACTGGCTTCCAAAATTCACTGAAAAGAAAGAAAAGAGTTAGGAGTGAAAGCTGAAGTGACATCAAATAATTGTGTAAGCTGCCCACTGGCACATGTGAACTCTATCAAATGCTCAAAATAAGACCCACAAATCATGAGGAGGCACAAATAATGACTTTAACCTTCTTCCTTTAGCAGATTCTCACCTGTTGCTGTAAAGCAGTGGTCTTCACTCCCTGAACAGTCCCTTATGCTTGAGCAGCTCTGCATATCGCAGTAGAAACATTTCTTTCCATTGGGAACATCATTGGGGATATCAAGATTGGTAGAACTGGAATCTACAGAAGGATCTGTACAAAATATAACTTCTAATGAAACAACACTAACTGCTCCATTCAATTAATTTCTACAATTATGAATTGAATGTCCTATGGATGTAAAATCAGTGTTGAAGATAGTCATTTGCACATGTTCAGGAAAGTACAATACCTGGAGCATCTTGGGCGTTACAAAGGTCCGTGTCACAGCAGAAAAAAGACATATTTGGAATGCTGATGTTTGTGTAACCACTACAGGCATATGGAAAACAACTTTTAACCTTCACTTTTGTGGTGGTGTCTCCTAAAAAACATCAATTATACAGGAATGACAACTGCTCATAATTTTAATGGTGAATTTATTTATAAATATGTCAAAATAGATTTAAAAACATCTTTCTAATTACAACTGCAAAGCAGAAGAGAAAAGACAACATTTGTAATATGAAATGATCGCTAAGGCCACTAGTGAAGCACTTAAATTTTTTCTGATGCATTTTTCTGATTTCAAATATTTTTCATTACTAATTATATTATTACCATAACTTTCTGAGTGAAAATTAATTAAGTAGCAGGAATCTGATTGCAATCATAAATCTTATGTATTTAAATATACTCCATATATTTCCACTGTTGCTGCACCCCCATCATTTAAATATAACAGTAAGTTTCAGTTAATCACACTGGACTTACCATATTGTGTTACAGTTGTTGAACTGAAGCATGCGTGAGGTTCAGGACATGCTCTCACATTTTGATCCACACAAGACAAACCTGCACACTCATAACAGTCGAGAGAGTGTCCTTCAGTAATAAAAGAGAGACATAGTGAGAGAGAAATCCAATTATTTATGTTCGCATAAAATAGAAATTAAAGTGATTTGTCTTTTTACCTGCAGCGAAAAAAATGAACAGAAGAAAAGCTGAGAATTGTACATCCATCTTTGAGACAAATTAAATAATGTGTTTCAGTGCTCATTTTATATCCTAGAAAAAGGGTCGGCCTTCATGAGATAATGACAGCTTCAGGAAGTAGAAATTAGGAATCAGGAAATAAGTATTTTTAAGGAACAAATAGAGTAGGTGTAATTAAGTTGGTTTGTTAACACACATGCGTATTAGATTGATGACATGTTTCTGCTTAACATGATTTTTATTTCATTTAAATATTTATATTTCATTTAAATAGTGTAATAAAGTATGCCCAATGCATTTTTTTTTGTAGAAACTGCATATCAGGATAAACAAAAAATAATCCTCTGTTATTTAAAAATTTTCTTTATATGTTGTATGTCACAAGTGCTATTTTTTCCCCCACAGATATTTCTTTTTTTTTTACAACACACAGGTCTATTTAAAAGTGGACACTTTAAATATGAAAGATCTAATGATTTGTAGGAAGTAGCAATACTTCCTACAAGCGATTATGAAACTCAGGGAAATAGAAGCAGGAGTGGCATTTCTCAGCATTCTTTGTTTGAATTTTAAATTCATTTCTCATAGAAAATAATTTGCTTGGATGTTGGATTATCCTGTTTCTTGTTCAATAATATATAATTTTAGACATTTTTATGTTCAGTTTTCTCCATGTCACATCTGTTTTAGGTTTTTTGTTCATGTTTTCATGTCTTTTATTTTGAAGTTTGTCATTGTCACGTGTCCTGATTTGTCTTGTGATTCTCTGTTATCCTGTTTCCATACTTTCTTGTCTAACTTTGTTTTAAGTGATGAGTTTGCATCGTACAGAGTGTCATATTGTAGAATTTGTAGAGCTGCTGGATTCAGTGCAGCAGGATGAAGGAGAGCAGAGAACAGCAGAGGAACAGGAAGCTCTGAGTGACGCCCTGTGCACCGTTACACAGGTTCCCTGAACAACACGAGATGCCCTGAACATCTCTACTGATGTTGCAGCATCACAAATAGATTTAGAAACACATCCTTTTACAACCACTGACTGGCCTTTGAAAGTCCCTGATGAAAAGAAAGAAAACACAGGTTTAGTCTAAGCTTTACTGGTCTATATGGTATGTATTAAACGTTTAAAGGGTTACTCCACCCCAAAATGAAAATTTTGTCATTACTCACTTTACCCCCATGTCGTTCCAAACCCGTAAAAGCTTTGTTCGTCTTCGGAACACAATTTAAGATATTTTGGATGAAAACCAGGAGGCTTGTGACTCTGTTTTCGTTCAAATCAAAGCATAAATAAACGTAGAAAACGTATCCGTGTGGTGCGGCTGACACAGACAAGTAGAACAGTATATGCAGTTTACGTTCAGTGAATACTCTCCAAAATGGCGCTACGGTGGAGACGAATTGTTGGAGACGAATTGTTGAATAAAGTCGTTATTTTTGCATAGAATAGTTTCACTTTTATTATAGCCTGTACTGAATCTACTGTAGGCTCCTTGAAACTTTGCTCAGTGTATTGTGGAGGATTACCCTCTTACTTCGACTTAACTGAAAAGTAATAAATAAATAAATAATGAATACATTGAACTCTTGAAGATTCACTCGGTTGATTTAGACAGTCAAAATGGTTTCAGCAAATCATTTAGGTGATTTGAGAAGCTCGTTTCCAAAAATATGTTGACACCCTTTTAATGCTTTTGGCCATTTCAGTAATTCAAGTGTGATGGCAAGAGCCACGTTTAAATGGACACTTTTTGTTTCAATCGGAATGAAATCATACTGTTTTTACATGAACTCTAAATAAAGCGATCGGGTTGATGTGCGCGTTTATATGTCACAAGATTCAAATCGGATTTAATCTTTTGACATGCACACAGTAACTCAAGAATTGTACAGTTTCCCGCTGTTTTTGCACACTAACCATCCGTCTTTTCTTTGTTTTAAAAAGCAGAGTTAATATGTATCTATTTCGGGTCCTAGTTAGGAGACGACAAGCACACGTCTGCAGATGAGATTACAAAGCAACGCTTGTGGGACATCGGCTCGTTCTGTGCGTCATGTGTTATTATTACGCCATTTCTACGGCACTGCACATGCGCAAAACTTTCAGCCGGCATTTTGGACGCTGTGTATTTTTACTATAGTCAGTATGACAGAAACCAAAGGATGGGTTTAATGGTGCAAAAATCCTCTTGAGGAAAATGTGATATAAATCTTAATATATATAATTTTTTGTCCTGGTAAAATGTGTTTTTTTCTTTAATAGGTAGAGCAACATAATTTGTGTGAAAAACAGTGGAAGATTAAAAGTAAAGCAGCTAGATCAACCTTTACACTGTGTTTATATAATATCAATACTGATACAAAATATAACCATGCAAATACATACTGTATTGGTAAAAAAAATTAATTTCATTATGAATTATAAAAATGACTGATTAATTGTGATTCATTGCATTTTTTATATAGTAATGTAGGACATACAGAGTGTAGTCTGAGGCAGAAGTTGATTAAATAAGTAGTTTTATTTTAAACAAAGAAAATATATGTGTAGAGCACAATGAGAAAGGTTGCATGGTGACGACATTGTGCACCAGCAACCCCTAATGACATGAGGCTCATGTAGCCTTGAGTTACAGATTTATCACCTTTACCCTCTTCACCTCAAGAGCATAGATACATATTAAAGGGGACATCGGATGCAAAATTTATATTATATGGTGTTTGCATATAAATGTGTCTTAGCAGTGTGTGGACACAACCACGAGCTCAAGCTCAAGCTTGCGGTGCGAAACAGGCGTAGAGTCTTCATTCTCTCCCAACATTAGAGCCACTGAGGATTAGTTTTGTTTTTGATGGGAAAAAAAAGAAGAAGAAGAGAGAGGTGGAGTGAGCAGTAGCTCATTATCATTTAAACAGATCAAGCACCGAAATAGGTCACTGTGAACGGAGCTCATTTGGACAAGGTAAAAAGGACCATTGAGGAATTTTAACCAAAGTATGTTATAGACATTTCATGAAGACCCTAAAGAATCATACCAACTTGGGCATCTGATGTCCTCTTTAAACAAAGAATTTACCAATATAGCAAAATAGGCCTACATAAAACTGCAAAGGTGTTATTGTGGTACAGACATCTGCTATCACAGATGGATTTAGTGGAACATCCTTCTGCAGTTTCTGACAGGAATGAGTTGAGTAAATATTCAGTGAATCTAAAGTAATTCATTTTCAATATGTTAATATTGTGTAGACAATATATATACAGTATATCTCAATTATCAGATTTTGAATATCTTGTTAAATTCTTCACACCAAATCAAAGATAGTGCAGAGGTAATACAAGCTATATGTTTGTAAAGCACACAATATTGTGTCTTTGCTGCTGCTGTAGAATGTGTAGAGCTGCTGGATTCAGTGCAGCAGGATGAAGGAGAGCAGAGAACAGCAGAGGAACAGGAAGCTCTGAGTGACGCTCTTAGCACCGTTACACAGGTTCCCCGAACAACATGAGACACTTCCTACACTAGGAATCAATGTTGTGGCATCACAAAGTGATTTAGAGACACAGCCTTTAAAAACCTGTGACTGGACTCCAATAGTCACTGATGAAAAGATTGAAGAAGAAAACCGTTTGAGTCAGAGACAAGTTGGCCACTGGTATACATGATCTGTATCAAATGTTTAAATAACAGAGAGAAAGATAATGAACCTTCTTTCTTTTCCAGATTCTCACCTGTTGCATTAAAGCAGCGGTCTTCACTCCCTGAACAGCTCACTGTGTTTGAGCAGCTCTGTCCATCACATGAGAAACACGTCTTTCCATTGGGAGCGTTAGTGCTGGGATCTACAGGAGGGAAAATAGATATGCTTTCTTTACATGGTCCTGGTCTTACTGTGCACACAATATTATAGGTGCTCATTGTACCAAAGATAAAACATTTTGTCTTCTCGATCTTTCGCAAAAAAAAAAAGTAACAATTCGCTCTGCCTGTATAAGCAACATTTGTTTTCGGCTGACATCACATTCCTGATAGAAAATAAAATTACATCCTTCTTTTTTTTTCTTGTTAAATGTTCTATAAACTGCTCTATTACAATACCTACAATACCTGGAGCATCTTGGACGTTACAGAGATCAGTGTTACAGCACAGAGAAGAGCCTTTTCCAATGCCAAGGTTGATGGATCCACTTGGACAGACAGCTGGAGCACAACTTTTAACCTTCACTGTAGTACTGTTGACTGAAAACACACGAGTGATACAGGAATGAGCAGCTCAACTGAACAATATTTTGATGGAAAATTTATTTATAAATATGTCAACACAGAAAGCATGTCCAATAGTGTATCAGACGTACAAACTTTGCAATATTAAATTATCTCTAATATTTATTAGAGATCTAAGAATGAGGTCCAAAGGTGTAAGACCACTAGGAAAAAATGTTTTAAATTTAGTGTTTTTCTCATTTCACACATTCTTAAATTTCAAATTGTATTATCATTATGATTTCAGTAATCTATATAGAACATTCTATGTGTGCAATTATAAATTCTGTCCAGAAAAGTACCGGTAGTTCTGACAGTCAATTATAATAGTACCTTTCAATCCATCATACTGGACTTACCAGTAACTGTTGCGCTGAAGCAGTTGGTAAATCCAGTAAAACACTGACTTGTCTGGGTACAAGAGCCCGACAGACTTGTGCAGTCATAACAGCTGAGAGAGTGTCCTTTAGTAATTAAAAAGACAGAGGTGTTAAGTGAGAGACATCTTATTTGTACCCAGTAACATTACAGAAGCGATTTGTATTTTGTACCTGCAGTGAAAAGAATAAACAGAAGAAAAACTGAGATTTGCAGATCCATCTTTGATCAGGAGGTGAATGAGATAATGTGCCTGTTTCAGCACTTATTTTATA